CGCCCCAAGAGGCCCCTTCTTCGGGGAGGCTGGCTTGGGCACACCACCGGTGAGCTCCGGGGCCGCCCAGCCGGCACTCAGCTCAGCCTCCTTCAGGCAGTCGGCCAGCGGGGGACTTTGAAAACCTCTTTATGGCGAGGGGGGAGTCGCTTTTTATGACTCCTTTTACTGGGATGTTGCACGTCTGCCTTGCATTAGCAGCGGCGGGGGCGGGGGGGGCGTTGAGAGCCCAGCTGGCCCGCAGGCGGCGAGACTACCAGGGTGAGGAGGGCCTGATCCACGGGAATCTGAGTGGCAGCGGCGCAGGCCGAGTCTTTGGCCCGGCCCTAAAAGAGCGCAAGAGTGGTCTGGGAGGCGGCCAGGAAGGGGTGCGAGGTCCCCGGACGGGCGGTGCAAGACGGAAGGCGAAAAGGCGGTGGGCGCCGGGGGGGCTGGACGAAAAATTTCAGAAGGACGCAGACAAACCTGCGTCCTCGCGTCCGCTTCGGTGCGTCTGGGATCCACCAGCACAAGCGCTGCGGCTCCGGTGGAAAGGCGGATCGAAGAAGCCCGCGAGGGAGCGAGCGGGAGCGCGAGGGTCGGGAACAGGGCCCCTCTGAAACGACAGCAGGCGGACAGCGCGGCTAAAAATAACACGTGTTAAACAAGAACGGGCCGATCACTGAACTCCGCCGCAAAAGAGAGCAACCGCAGTCCCAGCCGTGGCGGGTTTGGGGGGCCTTGGAAGGCTGGAGCCAGACCGGCGCTTCGCTCTGCTTCACTCCCGCGTCGTCCTCCGAACGGGACCGAGGAAAAGGCTGGGAACGGAACAGGATTCCGCTCGGCGCCAAGCGACTCCCTTTGGAAAGACGGGGGACAGCCAGGACTGGACGGTCGTAACACAGAACCACAGAACAATGGCGGGGACCTCCCGATCCCTCCAGAAAAAAAAGGGGGGGGGGGGGAGGTCCAGCAGCTTCTGCCCGCAAAAGGAGAGCGGACAGAGGAGGCGCTCAGCTTGGCGACCAAGGCTGGCAATTCGCGCGGGAGCCTCCCCAGCAGGCACTCACCAACCGCTGCCTCTGAGAAGGGGGGCTTCTCCGCTGAAGGCTAATGGCATTAAGGAATGGCTTCCGCCTCCCCCGCAGAGCTAAAGACGCAACTCGGTTGGGGACGCGAGCTGCCAAGACTCGGGGGCTTCCTCCCGGAATACGACTCGACCCTCGCATCACCAGATGAACTGCAGTCGTTGAAGCCCCGGAGGAGGCCGACGGCGCCCGTTCCTTCGGAGGGAGGGAGGGAGGGAGGGGCTGCCCGATCCGGCGGCTCTCGCGGGACTGCCCGACCAAGCAGGGTCTGCACGGAAGGCGCTACTTGGACGGCCAAAGGGTCTTCTTCCCCGGAGAGACACCCCAGAGCAGCTTGGGGCCGCCAGGGTCGGGGCGCCGGAGCTGAGCAGAGGGCATTCC